GCCGCCTGTTTGGGATACGACGATTTGTCCTCTGCCCTTACAGCCCTGATGTGCTATAACATATCAGGATACCCCCGTCAAGTTATTTATGATTATTTCGTAGGTACCGTGTGCTGAGGAGCCGCTATCCATTTGGATGTGAGAGATTTACTCTCTGTCCGATGGCTTGGCGTGAGCTTTAAAGCATTTGGACCGTTCAATACGAAATAATCACATTTTGATAACCTATGCCATAGATTCATGATAATAAAGCAAAACCCCTTTCATCGAGAGTCTTCTTGGGTATTCTCCAAGATGTAATTAACCAGTCAAGATGTAATTAACCAGCCAGTAGGAATACGTTCCTCTAGGAGACTTTTGACCCCAAAACAAAAATGTTCTTTTTTGTTCTCTGGTTATGGGTGGCTTCGATTTGATTTTGTTTGGATGTATGCTCTCGACCCATCACACTAGGATTACCCTATATAAGCCTTCCGTATCTTTTATTTTTGATTTGTTTGTCTATTGTTGTCATACGCAATTTGTTATTCGATTTCTCTCCTCTTCGAGTCATTCGTTTGATTCGGGAGGAAGACTTATTCCAATAGGAAAATTATATGACGACACATAAATAGATAAGCTGGCGACTCTGAGATCTAAAAAGGACCGAGAAAAACACCCCCATTCTTTATCCCTCCTTTTTATGATGTATTCCTTGAGTTTGACTCCATGAATAAAACATGATTCAACAATAGCCAATTATTATTTGATTTAAATTATCAAATGAATAAAAAATTAATAATTGAGGTACATCCAAAATCAGCTTAAGCTTAGTAAAAGTATTGAAAATTTAGGTGGGATTGAAAATTAAGCAAAAGTATTTATTTTGCCCTATTAGCCATGAAAATAACAATGTTTTTTTAAATGTCAATATTCTATGTGACTTGAGACTTTTTTTTGAAATAATTTTTCCCTTGGAGACTTATATTCTCGAGTTTTGTCATATGATATGACATCTCCTGAAAATATTTAACTTGGTCTAATAATGAATTTCAATAAATTATTCAGTTTGGTCTACAGTCCTTCCCAGCTGAGACTAGCTTTTAATACTTAATGTATATCAAGATGGTGTCACTGTTGATCTCACAAGAATTCAAAAATCCAAAACAAGGAAACATGATGAAGGAATATCTTATGCAAGGAAATCACGGGACCAATCTAGTCGGTTGAGCCAAGCCAAACGAGTCAAAAACATGTGTGAGGATGGACGACCAATAGCAACCAAGCAGCACACAAGGAAGCTCACCAGAAGAGTGTTTGTATCCCCAATCAAGAGAAAACTGGCTCAATGTGAAAGTTTATACTACAAGAGAGCTGACCATATAGAATGGTTGATTCCACAAAGCATATTCAGTCATCCAGCAAAATTCAGATGACTTCTTGTTATAAATAGGATCTTTGAGCCGATCAAGTCCTAACGATCGGGATAATAGACCGAGCCAAGCCGACTAATCTCAACCCATCGAACTGAGATGACCGAGTCAAAAAAAAAAAAAAATCAGATGATGCGTCGTCGCTTATACCTAAAGTAATGAGCATAAATCTCATCCATATGGGGCAAAAATGTAGTAACACTATTAAAATAAATCCTCTATAATTTGAGGTAGTATTTAATGAAGAGGATTGCACGATCCATTCGAAAATGATTGTAGCCCCTGTATAAGATCTCTTCTTCTCTCCCTCTATTATTCTGCTCACATTTCACGCTCTGTCTTGACTGTAATTCATAGACAAATTTGAAATCAACATTTAATAATTTATAATTTTTACATAAAATCAACATAGAACTAATGATGTATTGAATGCATTTTTTAATGATCACATGCTTATTCAAATAAAGTTATTGGATGAGTAATGCATTAATAAAATAAGAATTTAAAGGGAATTGGACTTAACATAACTCATAATATAAGCCATAACGAGCATGTTTTAGATCTTATGTACTATATTTTTTTTACTATTTGTTTATAATTTTAAGAGTTTTATGTGTTAAAATATAAAAGAATTTATATATAATTTACAATAATATCCTTATTAAATTACATTTTAAAACCTTTTATAACTTTCTAATGTACATTCTTCGTTAACCATTGAGCATGGCTAGTGAGAGAAAGGAAGAGAGAATAAAGTAGAAAGAGAAAGTCAATGTCAAGAAGTTTTGGGACAGATTTTGTCTATTAAACTATCTAAAAAAATATACAGCTAAAGATAGGCTATCCTTATTTCAGCTTTAATTTTTTTTTGCTTTGTGTAAACATTTAGTATTTAACAAAGTTATATTTCAATGATAATTCGATGTACAAAAATCTATTTTTTTTAATAATTAGATTTTGATGTATTGTGGAATATATTGTACTAATCATATTAACATGAGAAAATAATATGCATTGCTTTATATAATATAGTTCTTGTGTGTTTTAATGAGTACATCAAACCTTATAAAATTATTATAAAATAAAAAGATTTAAAATGTTGTTGTGGTTGATGCATATAAATGAATGTTCAGCTTCAATTAAATATCATAAAAAACTTTGATTTTAGTAAACTTATATTCAAACTGATCAGCTTGATGAGGCGAACACAATGCCCGCAATGTTAATCCAATCCGAGTAAAAATCAAACACAAATTGAGCAGTCAGGGCATTTTAGGAAGCTTCCAATAACCAATTTGAAGGTCAAATAAATTATAAATATGACCAATTAATAGTTAAATCGAGCAAATCGACAAGTCAAATCAAAGAAGCCCAAAATTACTTTATTTTTATATCATTAAATTATTCAAATGTTTATAAAATGTAATCCAATCGAGAGGACCTCTCTAGACCGCGCTTGCATCAACCGAACATAGTTGACCACCTCCTGCTCGTCGCAATGAAGACCTTTACAGAGTCGCAATGTACGTTGCAAAGTAACTATGCATTGTGCTAAGTAAAAACCAGCCTTACGGAGTAATGAAACATTCTATGGAGCATTGCACCCTGATGACAGTGTAACAACATACCTCAACGATGCTGTAACAATACTCTGAAGATAGTGCAATGCATCTCGAATATAATGCAACAATGTGCCCCGCATATAGTGCAATGACATATTTCAAAGATGATTTAACGGTGCACCCTACAATTATTACTTTTAACTACTATACTCAAGATATATCACTTTCTCAGGACTGTTGAAGCTCTCTCTTTGCAGCTCATCACTACAACCTACATAACCAAGTACGGTCTATGTGGGCCAATCTTATGCAACTCCCAACTCCTACCTTTGCGACATACAAATATAATTATAACTCATGCAGCTCCCAATTCTAGACTCTATATCCTACTCCTAACTTTGGTCTCTATAGCCTACAAACTTTGTCTCGACTCATGCATCTCCAAACTTTGGTCTTTGCGATCTACAAACGTTATCACAGCTTAAGCGGCTCTCAACTTTGGCTCCTCCGGCCTTTGGACATTATCTCATCTCATGCAGCTTCCAACTTTTGCCTCTGTGGCTTACAAACATAATCTCAGCTCATGCAACTTCTAACTATGGCCTCTCTGACATAGGAATGCCATCACAACTCATGAGACTCCCAACTCTGGCATATGCTATCCATTATGGCTATTATTGCTAAAATGCATTGCACATCAAGTCTATAATTACATCTTTCCTAACTTAGGAGAAGAGTGAGCATATGTACTCGCAATTATATAATGGATTGCTCTAATTGGTTGCTCTAATTGGGCTCGACTCAATGGTTTTTTCCCCTTTCAAGGATTTTCCACTTAAGAACTTATGGTGTCTCCACCTGTCACTATAATTATCCAAGTGTGTGTTGAGACTTCATTCAACATTAAGATGCTAAATTATTACTCTACCATTGCAAGCATTCCAACTCACATCGATAACAATTTACCCCTTTAAATTCTACTGTTTGTGATACATACTAACATAATAAAATGCTATAACACATTATATAATATTCTTACATGTGAGAGTTGATGTTATACGTTTGTTTATATTTCAAAAATTACGTGTAAAGAGGGGAAAAAAGGAAAGCATATATGGTTGGCTAATTGTACTTTTTATCTCAAGTGGAGGTATACAACCTTGTACATCTATGGAATCATATATTCATGAAGTTAATATAATTAAGTATGAACAATTGAATGTGTACATGAAAATAAATGTATAAATTGAAAGATAAGCTAGTCGAATGTGCAAAGAAAAGTTAGAGATATAAGTGATAAAGAAAAAAAAAAGTAGAAATTATTCTAAATAAAATGATATATTATTATTTTTGTTGCGTGCTAAGAAATTCCCAACGAAGGAGAAATCTTATGCCTTAACTCAGAGAAGTTTTTTATTACATGCATAGATAAAAGTGTAGGAGACAATTAGAGTTTTTATGTGGGAAATACCTAAAAAGGAAAAAAAAATCACAAGGTCTATCCCAATAAAAAAAAAATTCACCAGTAAATTGAAAGTTTAAATATTCACTATTTTCTTAAATTAGAAAAGATGAGAACATAAAAACTAACAATCATAATTTTATAATAATAGTTTGGCTACAACAACCATAATTGTTTTATAAGAATTGTAATTGATGGCTACAATAACAATTGTTAGCTAAATGCATAAACTATACCGCCTATAATTGGTTGTATCAATTTCTGGTGGTCATTAATGATTATCTTTTGTTATTAAAAACAAAATATGATAATCAACAATGAACTCTAGTGATCAAAGATAACTTCGCAGACTTGGATAACTTTCGAGACTTCTAGAGTAAAGTTTTAGCAAGTCACTCATTTATCTTCTTATCCCTCCTTTTAAGTGAATAATGAGAACTTATTTATAATTTTTTAAGACCGGAAATTTGGTGAATAATTAGAGCCTATTTATAACGACAATTTTAGCAAACCATTATGATTTTTTTTTTTTTATGACTTCTCGTATAGCCGGACTTTTTACTCGGAAATCGGTTTCTTACCGGGTTACCCTAATGCGGACGATTGCCCGCATGGAATCTCGATCTTTTCCTACCAGTCAACCGGGAATCCAAGCAGCGATGTCGGCCGGCCGGCGGTCCAAATCTGCGTTCGGGAGTTTTAACGGTAGATCGAATCATCCACATAAAACTTCTTATGCTTTTGTACGCATATACTTTTCTCTTCAGCCGGGCTGCTGGATGGTTTGCTTCGTCGACCGCGCCTCTGACCCAAGCGGCTAAATAATTTCAATAGCTTCGTCTTGTTAAATCCCTTCCTCGGTGTTCCTTACTGCTCCGGTACCATGTTGGGATTGAAGCTGTCGTTGCCAGGGCATTGAAAGGGCCATCGAGGGAGCTTGTAAGCGGTGAGCTAAGAATCGTCCATTTGTTCTTCTTGATTTTGTTGGCTCATGATTCGTTCCCATCATTTGTTCTACTTTACTGTTGGCTTTTGTTGAAGAAATTTTACACGGTACTATTAGGGCAGGTCAGCTCTAGAATTACGAGATGGATACCGATATGAATTGTGTCATTTTGGGTGATTAGGGCATTCATCACGAGGAGAAGCAACCACACACTTTATAATTTTAGTGGATTTATCTTTGCAGTGTTTTACCCGTGCCCCTGTTTTGATGTAATTGTTAGGAGAAGATGTGTACATGTGGGAGAGATGGGTTGTGGTTGCTGGAATTTGCTTAGCCATATAATTTTGTTTGATTTTTAGTTTTATCTTTTTGAGATAATCTCGGTTCATCGGATTGTTTTAGGAATGTAGTTTTGAATTGAAACAAACCATTCTGGTGAATGAAAAATTCACTTGATAACTTATCCAGATTGGCCGACTGTTAACTATGTTCTGGCGCGTGAAACTTATATTTAATGCACATGATGAAAATCGCTAGAGTCGATATCTTGCAGAGGCCTGCCTTTCATTAAATTGAAACTATTGTGGTCAATTGGCTACAACTGGTTTGTTAGGTTTGCGGGATATTTGGGTGCTTACTACTGTCCTCTATCTTATTCTGATGAAATCACTCAGAGTTTGGTGAATAGTTTTCTTATCACCAACATTGAGGTGATATCATTTAATTTCCTCTTTTACTTTTTTCATTACAGATACTCGATCTCCTGAATTGAGCGGCTATTATTATTTTCTGTTTATTTTTTCCCCCTTTTTTTTGAGAAAAAAACTTTTTCTAATGAGCAGGAAAGCTGTGAAAACATCCTGCTGATTGACAATGTATCTTGAACATGCTGTTTTACCCTTGATTTGAGGAGTATCATGCCAGTTGGTTACTTTCTTTGAGCCCATTTGGAAGAAATACTTTCATCATCCTTTTTCCATTGATGTGATGTTTTCAGGTCAATTCAATATTTCTTATCTTATTTTGCTAATAAAGGATATGGAAAAACATTTAACTATTGTAATATTATACCATTTTTAAGCTTTATATGAATGTTACGCATTCATATGTTGTGGCAAGATATTTGTTCATAATTTTATTATCTTTGCAATGTCATTTCTTCTTATTAGTTAGAAGCATGATAGATTTGGTAGAGAAAAATATTACTATTAATTTCAAATCCCTTTAGAAGAAACCTGAAACTGAAGGGAAAAAACATATAAATACTAAGGCAATGTTGTTTCATGGAAAATCATGGTGATTTGGAGATTCTAAAATTGTTTAAATTGTTCAACTTCTGGTGTATTATTATTTAATAAGGTTGTTGACAGGATCTTTCAACTGCATTGCTTTCTGTTGTAGAAGCATCTAATTTTTTCTTCTTCACTTCAATTGTCATACCCATTAGCCACGCTGTTTGATCTTTACAAGGATCTGCAAAGAGGATTTCCTGCTGGAGGAGGTTACTTGTTCTCTACTCCCAAATTTCGAGTCATGCATTGACGTTTGCTATCCTAAATCCTTTTTTTATTCTTTCTCCACATTCTCCGGCTCCCATTTCTTTGAATTAAACTTAGATTGCTTCATTTTAATTTGAATTTTATTGGAGTAATGGGCCAAGATTACGATTAAAAAAAAATTGTCATGAAAGTGTGCATTTGTCATAATGGTCCATCTTCTTTTAAGAAATTCTTATTAATGCGAATCTTGTAATGCATGCTAACCAGCTTACCCTATCTGCCAAACTACGTGACGTGCTCCATAAAACTTGGCACAGGGAAACATCTCTGCCTTTTTCGTTTGTTTGATTCTTTCAGTAATTTGTACGATCCAATTTTTTTTCTTGATCTTCTACAAGAGTCCAAAATATAGGCCTTTATTTCTAACTTGGCAGAGCCCCAAAATAAGATGAATAAATTGAATCTTATTATATGAAAAAAAAAAACTCGCTACAATTATCAAACTCCTAATTTAATCAATTTTTTTTTCTTAGAATAAAACAACAAAAACTATAATGAGACATATTTAGCTTTGAATTCTTTTTTGTTTCCGTGACGACTTCAACTCAGTTGAAAAATGTAATTCATATGTTGTATTTGTTCCTCGCTAAAGGGAGAGATGACCTTCATTAATTTTTTTTGCCAAGAAATACTTTCTGCTAGAAGCTAGAGTGTGGCCGTCAGGTTCAAGTATGATGAAAGGACAGCGGAAGTTGCCTAAAAAATGAGTATATCCACCACATCCCTAAGAAAACCAAAGGCTAGATGCACTAGAGTTACAAACATGATTTGTATCATTGGATGAAGGTTGGCTTTTTGTTGGAAAAAATTGACAAAAGAGTTCATATGTCTATGCTTGATAATTTTTTTAAATTTAATTCTTTATTCTGTTGCAAAGGGATTCACAATATCTATAGTTAGGCTTTCTAATTTAGCTTAAATATCGATGGTCAATGAAGAAATTAGATTGGTTTTGAGTTGAGATTTGATTGGAACCAGCAAGCCATTCACTAGTTAAAGTCTTAGAAAATTTCTCTTTGGATTTGATCTCAAGTTAAGCTTAACTAGATCAAAATAACTCAAAATGTAATATTTGGCTTATGATTTATGATATTTTTATTTGCTTTTGTTTTATGAAGGTCTGATGATGGCTCTCCTCAGCTGCTTGTTTGTCTTTTATTTCATCCATGCAATGAATTTAATCATTTGAAATATCAATTTTTGGTGCTAAAACTCAAAGAATATACGGGAAATGTTGGTTTTATGGCATTTATTTCATGAAATTGATTCGAATTGCTCTCTATTCTTCATCTTTGGGCAATCTGCTTCCTAAAATTCGATCCAAACATGTTGCTTTAGTCATGCATGCTGCCGGCTGTACCCAAGATAAGATTCTCTATAACTCTCACTTAGTGCTCCAATATTTTCTCATCTGCCATTATTATTGTCACAATTTCAATCTTCAATTTAAACGATAGTGTTTTTCTCATGACTTACATCTTTTGTGCAATAATACGTCCTGAAACAAACGATAACTTGTATTTTGTTGCAGGCACATCTACATTTCACACTTCTAGGTAATGGCAGAAAAGTGGGATGGAAGCTATGATTCCAATAGAAGAAGCTATGATTCCAGTAGACACTCTGATGAGAGCTATCACGAAAAGCTTCACATTGAGCCTCTTTATGAATCATTTGTCTGCCCATTGACAAAACAAGTAATGCGGGATCCTGTCTCCATTGAAAATGGGCAAACTTTTGAGAGAGAGGCAATTGAAAAGTGGTTTAAGGAGTGCAGGTGCAGTGGGCAGAGACCTGTTTGCCCACTGACCTTAAAAGAGCTGAGTAACACTGATCTCAATCCCAGCATTGCCCTGAGGCATACCATTGAGGAATGGACAAAAAGAAATGAAGCTTCTCAGCTTGATAATGCTTGTAGATCTCTGGGTCCTGGTGCCTCAGAAAGCAATACTTTACAAGCGATGGATTATGTTGTGAATATTTGCAATAAAAGTTGGACAAACAAGCATGCCGTTCGAAAGGCCGAGTTAATACCATTGATTTCTAATATGTTAAAGAGTAGCAGCAGAAAAGTGCGTTGCAAGGCTCTGCACACTCTCTATATAGCTGTTGAAGATAATGATGACAATAAGGTGGTCTAAAGGTTCGCTAGTAATTTTTTGTGGATATTTGAGTAGTTTCACTCTGATATAAAAACTAATTTTTATTAAACTCCAGCAAGTTATGGCTGCTGAGGATACTGTTCGAACAATTGTGAAGTTTCTGTTACATGATCACTCCCAGGAGAGAGAAGAAGCATTGTCTTTGTTGTATGAGCTTTCAAAATCTGAATCTCTTTGTGAAAGTATTAGTGGAGTCAATGGGGCTATACTTATATTGGTCGGGCTATCAAGTAGTGAATCAGAAAATGTCTTAATTGTTGAGAAAGCTGAAAAGACATTGGAAAATTTGGAGAAAAATGAGAAGAATGTTAGGCAAATGGCTGAAAATGGAAGACTAAGACCTCTTCTTACACTTCTACTTAAAGGTTGTTCCTACTTGCTTGTATGTCATTCTACCAAGTTTTCTGATTTATACTTCAGTTCTACATATAACAGTTTTACCTGAAACAGTAACTTTTCTTTTCTTCTTTTTTCCTGATGATTTTATCTTTTTTTTTTCTGTTAAATTATTTAAAATTTTTTTGTTTGTTTGTCGAAGGCATCATAATTGCACTAAAAATCACATCTATTCATTAAGGACTTGGGATTATATAGAGCCTTACAATTTTCCTTACAAATAAAGCCCTAGAATTCTTCTATAATTCCTATTTATAAAGAGAGCCCTAAACTGTGTAGAATTCTCAACACTTTCCCTCAAGATGGGCAAAAGATATCCACTAAGGCCATCTTGTCACACAACTTAGATCTAATTAGCTAAGTCCCTTGGTGAGGCAGTCAACTATTTGCTCTCTAGTAGCTACCTAACTCTCTTTTAGTCAACTTTTCAGCTTTTCCTTGATGAAGAATCTATCAATCTCCACATGCTTGGTTCTGTCACACTACAACTTCATTTGAACTCCTTGGTTCACCTTGAGCACTTACCAATAGAGCTCTCAACCATAACTTCCCAACAACTTCTAAGTCCATGACCCTGTACTCTGCCTCTGTCGTTGACCTCACAACTATCGACTACTTCTTGCTCTTCCAAGGGACCAAATTGCCCCCCCGAACATGTAGTATCATGATGTGGACCTCCTGTCATCAGCATAGCTAACCCGATCATAGTCATAGCAGCCCTCAATGCCTAAATGCTCATTTTTTTCCTGAAGATCAACCTATTCCCTCGTGCACTCTTCAGGTACCTTAGAATTTGTTACACTGCATCCACGTGACTCTTGCTCTAATCATGCATGTAGCGACTCACCGCACTTATTACAAATAACATGTCAGGACGAGTGTGATTTAGATAGATGAGAAGACCTATCAACCTCTGGTACCTCTCAAGATCAACTAGCTCTCCTGCCGATGCTCTCAACTTTCTACAAATAACATGTCGGGACGAGTGTGACTTAGATAGATGAGACAACCTACCGATCTCTGGTACCTCTCAAGATCAACTAGCTCTCCTGCCGATGCTCTCAACTTTCTCTTCTGATCAATTGGTAAAATTGCAGGCTTGCATTCCAACATATCCGCCTCTGCGAGCAAGCCTAGCACATACTTCTTCTGAGATAGATAATCCCCTTTGGTCCATGAGCCACCTCAATCCTCATGAAGTTTCTAAGCTGTCTTAGATCCTTCACCTCAAACTCTTTGCTCAAACTTGACTTCAACTGAGCAATCTCTCCCTTATCATAACAGTGACAATCATATCATCCACATACATTGCAAGGATAGTAATGTGACCTCCATGTCGTCGAAAGAACACTGTGTGGTCGACATTGATTTGCTGATAGCCCATGCCTATCATTGCTCTCCTGAACCTGACAAACCAAGCTTAAGGAGACTGTTTCCAACCGTACAATGACTTCCTTAATCTTCATAACTTGCCTGCTATTTAGTTTGTGTCAAAGCCTTGGGCAGCTCCATGTACACCTGATCTAGCAGATCCTTATGAAGAAACACATTCTTCCAGTTGATGTAACCTCCATCCACTATTCACAGCTCGAGAGATGAGTATTATGATTGTGATCATCTTTGTCATTAGTGCAAATGTCTCATTATAGTCGATGTCATACGTCTGACTATACTTTTTCGTCACCAACCATTCTTTGTAGCGATCAATCTTTCCTTCTTAGGTCTGTTTTACTATGAAGACCCATTTGCATTTGACTGTTTTTTTTTTCTAGTAGCAACGCGAGCTCCCATGTTCTGTTCTTATTGAGAGCACCAAGTTCCTCCAGCATGACAGCCTTTCACTTTGGATTATTCTTAGCTATCTGTCAATACTTGAGAATAGACAGATTGTCCAAAGATGTTCGTGTAAAGATGACATGTTAGAGTATTAGACAAACTGGACAATGTTATTTGAGAAACCAAAACGATCAGGAGGCCAGGAGGATGGCCCGCTTTGCTGCGAGAGGTTCTCCTTAAAGTCATGGGAGTGGGAGGAGAAAGGAGAGGAATCATATCATCTCTATAATCGAATTACGAGGTGGATGGTGTAGGTGTCTCAAGAGTCAGGATGGACTATGACATGAGACTTGTTGGCACGAGTGATACGACAACCATTGTTTTCTCATTTTTGCCTCCTTGTGTACTCCCTCAGCTTCCCTTGAACTTGAATCCTACCACATTCAGACTCATTTTTCTCATTTTTTGGCTCTTTCTCAGTTGATCCTCCTCACATTATGGGATAAGGAATCGTTCCCACATCTACCAATTTCTCACCATCACTAGGGCTGTGAAATCGGCTCGTTGCTCGCAAAAGATTTATCTTCGGCTCGATAAGCAGCTCGTGTTCGATTCTTTTGCTAAACAAACGAGCCAAACACGAATGAATTTTGTGCACTTGATATATAAACGAGTCGAACACAAACAAAGTTTTGTTCATTCATGTTTGACTCGTTTTGGCTCGAAATAATTATAATTATATATATATACATACATATATAATTGATGAATATTATTTTTAAATAATTTAATTAACTATAAAGTTATAGAGATTTATAATCAATTAAATTTATTAATTATGAAAATAAAATAATTATATTTGAATTTCTATCTAAATTAATATTTTAATATAAATAATTATATTTAAATCTCGCCCTTACCTCTAAAATCTTTGGCTGTGTGACTTAGGTTATCAAAATGGTTCGTTGTTCGCGAACAATTCGTGTTCGACTTGCTAAGCAAACGAGCTGAACATAAAAATTTATTTTGAGCTTGATATATAAACGAGTCAAACACGAACTTTGGTATTTTTTATTAAAGCCGAACACAAACAGAGCATGGGCTTAATCAAGCTCGGCTCGTTTACACCCCTAATCATCACTACTATTCCCCTCTCGTCTTATAACTCCATTATTTGACAAGTCATCAAAGGCGATGTCACCTTTAAGGTGTAGTATGGTTTGAGTGCTCTAAAAATTACGTACATACTCACAAATATTCGCTTCTCTATTGAACTTAACAAACATACTTCTTATGAGTAGCAAAATAACCCACAGAAAACATTTCACAGCTTCGGGATCCAACTTCCCTATTGATGGTTGATTATCTTTCACAAAACATACACAACTAAATGCCTTCAATGGGAGGATCCCACCATTATCTTCTTTCAACAACTCACGTGGAGATTGTCACTCCAACACTCTTGAGGGCATTTTGTTGATCAATTAAATGACTGTCAAAACAACTTGCCCCATAAGTGCTTTAGGACATTCATCAAGATCATCATTTTTTTGGCTACCTCTAGAATGCATCGATTCTTCTTCTCTGCTACTTCATTTTGTGTCGGTGTGTATGGACATGTGGTTTGATGCCGCATTCCTTGAGCTGACATGTACTCCTCAAATGTGTTGTTGGTATGTCCTTTACTATTATCAGACCACAATACTTTCTCTACTATGTTCTATTGAGTTTGAATTGCCCTATGAAAGTTCTAAAAACATGCAATTAGTTTTGTTTCTCATCAAATTTAACTAAGTAAGACGAGAAAAAAAATCAATGAAAGCCACAAAATATTTGTGACCATTCATCGAAGTTGTAGAAGGTCCCATACATCTAAATGCGCCAAATCAAAAGTACAAGAATTCCTATTACTTGAACTAACTTAAGAGCTCCTGATATGCTTACCAAACACATGAGAATCACACACAAATTTTTGTTTTTTTGCCTTTTCATACAAAGATAAATACAAATGACTCAATAGACCAAATGAAGAGTGTCTTATACGCTTGTGATGTATCAACAACACATCCTCCACACTTCTCTCAGATCCTCCTAGTCCAGCACTCTCTACCATGGATGTTAAGCTTGAGTTCATCCCCTCTTTATCCAAGTACTGGAGTCCACTATGACGCACGCTAGTCTCAAGTCTCTGGCTACTCCCCTTTTTTTTTGAAAGATCACATTAAAAATATCAATTGAAACAATATATTTTAGTTGTAGTATTATGATACTAATGGATAAAAGATTCTAGAGAGGAATTGAGCATGCAAAATATTGTACATAATCATAGAATTGGTACCTCACTGTACCTTTGTCGGCCACAGGCCGTGTTATACCATCAGGGGTCTGAATGCTCTTTGAAACTGCTAGTTGAGTTTATGAAAAGAACTCACTTGCGACACCTATCACATGTCAAGATGGACCAAAATCTACTATCATTCTGGTGATCTTATGGTGGATATAGAGACAAGAGCATGTGTATGATGAGTATCTTTGGTTGAGTGAGCATAAGTAATAGTGTTCCTCTTGTATGATGATAAGGTGTATGCATCATTCGTCACATCATCTGTCGCTCTCTGCTTTCTCTTCAACATCTTCAAGAAATCATGATCCTCATCTATAAAGACCACCCCAATCTCTCTGTCGTTCTCTACTACCATCAGATTTGTCGGTAGCCCCCTCTTCCACTTCTTTAACCCCCACGATTATGATTACAACCTCTAGACTATCCACTTCCACCATACTCTCTCTCTATGGGTGGCTTTAGATAAGCCTTGCTCAGGTGTCCCACTTCTCTATAATTGTAGCACCTGCGGGTCTCCTCCTGAGCACCTGTCATACTTGAGCTTGAGGTAGCCAAAGCTGATCGTGTATCTGGAAGTCCACTTGGCTCAAAATATAGTCTCATTCGACTCTTCTCCTGTATCATAGCGGCAATGTCCTCATCCGGTGAAGGAATCGTTGCCTGAGGTAGGAGGATCGATCTCCTCGGGTCAAAGGTCAAGTTCAAATAAGTCAAAAACTGCATAATTCTCGTATGTGCAAAGGTTTCCCCCTTCTTACACCCCTAGTCACCATAGCTCGACATAGGTGAGAAGTAATCAAGATTTTACGACAACTTTTCTAGCTCTAAGTACTTCTGAATCGATCTATCACTCTGTACTACTACCTCTATGTAGGGGTGTAAATAAGCAGAGCTTGATAGAGCCCAAGCTCGGTTCGCATTCAGCTCATTAAAAAGTACCATTGCTCGTGTTTGACTCGTTTATATGTCGAGCTAAAAAAATATGTTTTTGGCTTGTCTGCTTAATGAGTTGAACACGAACTGTTCTCGAACAACGAGTCATTTTGATAACCTAAGTCACACAGCCTAAAATGTTATAGGTAAGGACGAGATTTAAATCTTATCATTAATATTAAAATATTCATTTAAATAGAATTTAATATATATTTATTCTATTTTCATAATTAATAATTTTATTTGATTATAAATTCGTGTAGCCTTGTAGTCAATTTAATATTTAAATATAATATTATATATATATATATATATAATATTATTTCCAGCCAAACGAATCGAACACGAACGGACAAAATTTTGTTTGTGTCGGCTCATTTATATATCGAGTGCAAAAAAATTATTCGTGTTCGACTCGTTTGCTTGACGAACTATTTGAATACAAGCTACTTAATGAGTTGAAGAGCTGTTTGCAAGCAACGAGCCGTTTTGACAGCCTACATCTATGTCACGTTCATGTAGTTCTTAGTCCCAACATATGTCCTTTTCAGCTTTGCCTAGATGTCCTTTACCTTTTGAATGCCATTCACTAATGAGAAAATTAATGGAACCATCGAGTTGAGAAGCCAAGTGTAAAGTAAAGCATGTGCAGTTCTCCACTCATCTCCCTCGACACTATCGCCTCCTGGTTCAGCCTTGACTCTCGTCAGTTATCCCTCCAGTTTTTTTCCTACTAGAGCATCCTCGATACGACGTGACCAACTTAGATATATGACCGGTCTATCAAGCTTCAGATACACAGGAGGGAGATTCAGCTTCACTAGAGTCAGAGCACGTGCTGAGTTAGTGGCTCCCTTCAAGAGGCTAGCTTCTTGTATGAGCTCGACCAATAACTTCAGAACTGCCGTATCTATATTCCCGAGAAGCTCCAATCTCTTACCTCTTACATTATCTCCCTCTCCTGATATTCTTAATCACAAGTAACCAAGTCTAGATCACACATGACTTCCTTTCTCTTCCTAAACCAATCTTGATCTATCTCATCATTATGATTAAACTCAATTTAACTATTCTTTATTTTGTATGCGCGATGCGAAGCCCTTGCCAATTCTGTCATGTTAAGCTGCTTGAACCTTCCTGCTCCTACGCATGCAGGAGCCTGTACTTCTCCTCTGCTTTGTAACAAACAAAGGATTCATTGTGTACGAAGTCCTTCGAAGCTCCCAGTTGTCACAATTAGGGCTTACTGGAAAGCAACCATAGGGTTTGTTAGAGCTCTTCTGCGCTCGGGAAGTGCAACAATAGGATCGCTGCACGGCATGCGCAAAGACCTCTAGAACTCCCTTCTTCTGCTCCTGCGCTCAGTAAGAGCACCAATGGGATTTCTGCACGGGATCACACAGCGCAAAGGCATCCGGAACTCCCTTCTTTCAAAGCTGCTCTCACCTCCCTGCATGCACCGGTTAGCAACAACCCACAAAGCTGCAGGATGCAGCTAGCGAGGGAAGCAATGACAGGATCGCAGCGCATAAGGACCGTGAAGATCCCGTCTTTCTCGTCGTCTGTCCTCCCTGCTTGAGCAATGATGGAAGCACGACGCAGAAGGATCCCCGAAACTTGGCTATGGTTTGGTTCTGATACCAAATAGAAATAATTGCTCTAAAAATCATATTCAATCATTAAAGACTTGGGCTTATATAGAGCCTTACAACTTTCTTTACAAATAAATTCTTAAATTTTTTATATATTTCCTATTTACAAATAGGATCAAAACTATTTACAATTCACAATAAAATTCAATATACTCTTTTTCTTTTTAATAAAATTTTGGTCTGGGTTGTAGGTTCGCCTGAGACGCAGCTATCCATGGTAGAATTCTTGGGCGAACTTGTTTTAAGCAATGATGTCAAAGTCTTTGTCGCCGAAACTGCTGGTTCTGCTCTTGTTGACATCATGAATTGTGGGAGTAAGCAAGCCAGAGAGGCTGCGCTCAAGGCACTAAATCAGATCTCGTCACATGAGGCAAGTGCTAAGATACTTATCCAGGCTGGTATCCTACCTCCTCTAGTAAAGGACCTCTTTACCGTTGGAATTAATCAACTTCCAATGAGGTTAAAAGAGGTATCTGCTACCGTACTCGCAAACATTGTTGCATCAGGTGCTTGTTTTGAATCCACTCCACTTGATCAAGGCCAACAAACTCTAGTCTCCGAGGATATTGTCCACAATCTTCTTCATCTTATCAGCAACACCGGTCCTGCCATTCAATGCCAGCTCCTGCAGGTTCTTGTTGGGCTCACAAGCTCTTCCAGAACTGTCTTAAAAATTGTTTCTGCCATCAAAAGCTCTGGTGCTACCATCAGTCTCATTCAGTTTATTGAAGCTCCTCAGAGGGATATTCGCATGGCTTCAATAAAGTTGTTGCATAATCTCTCTCCTTACATGGTTCAGGAACTTTCAGATGCTCTGCTGGGCACTGCCGGTCAGCTTGGTTGCCTGATTAGAGTTATATCAGAAAACAATGGGATTACAGAAGAACAGGCAGCTGCAACCGGGCTCTTAGCTGAACTTGCTGAGAGATATTCAGGACTGACAGGGCGGCTTCTTGCTGAAGAGGCTTTTCCAATTATCTATTCTAAAGTTATGAAGATTAGAGAAGGAGGCATTCGAGGAGGAAGGTTTGTCACTCCTTATTTTGAAGGGCTAGTTAGGGTCCTCTCCAGGCTTACATTTCTAATGGAGAATGAAACTGGAATTATAGGCCTTGCCCAGGAAGAAAATCTTGCAGCTCTTTTCATAGATCTTCTTCAACCTAATGGGATGGATATAGTGCAGATGGTTTCTGCTATGGCATTGGAGAATCTTTCAAAGCAGTCGAAACATTTGACAAAAGTACCCGAGTCTCTAGATCCAGGGCTCTGTGCTTCTGTATTCTCTTGTTTCAGTAAAGAGCCAGTTGTGACTGGCTTGTGCCAGGTTCACCATGGGCGCTGTTCTATAAAGGAGAGTTTCTGTTTACTGGAAGGGAATGGGGTTGAGAAATTGGTCGCTTGTCTGGACCACAATAATGAGAAGGTGGTGGAGGCTTCGCTAGCAGCACTATGTACTCTGTTGGAGGATGGGGTGGATATCGAGCAAGGTGTACTTGTTCTTTGCGAAGCTGAGGGAATTAAACCAATACTTGTGGTCCTACTAGAAAATAGGACCGATCTTCTCAGGCAGCGAGCTGTGTGGGCTGTGGAGAGGATTCTAAGGACGGAGGATATAGCTTATGAGATTTCAGCAGATCAGAATGTGGGGACAGCTCTGGTTGAAGCTTTTCGACATGGGGACTACCGGACAAGGCAAATTGCAGAACATGCCCTAAAGCATGTTGACAAGTTGCCTAATTTTTCTGCAATATTTCCGAAGGTTGGGGCTGATTTGTAATGGTGGACAGAAGCTTGATTGTGGTATGTATGTATGATTTTTTCAGGTATCTTTTTTTTTTTCCCTTAAGTCTATGTTGCTTTGATTTCGTTTTTGTTTGAAATATTTGTAAAAGATTCCTTTTTTGGTCGTAATGCTCATTATTTGTTCAAGAATTTTTTTCCTCGTGAGCATTGAGATGATTGTTTATGCTATTGAATAAAGTTTATAGAATTAGATCTATGATCTGGGTAGGCAAATACATATATTTCAGAACTTCTATTAGTTTAAATTGTCACCTTTTCGATACCCTGGGATTTTGTAGGCTCGTGGAAAATTTAACTATTTGTTGGATAGATCCAGGTCAATTGTGTTTGAACATTTACATGGATGCTTGTTATTCAAGTTTGTATCAAATGACCGGATTATAATCTACATGCTGTTATTTTCCTTCTGATTTTTCATCTTTGCTTTCGAGATTTTCTGGAGGCCCTTTTGAAGATCACAAGCGATGAGATTGTGATTCTAAGCTGCTTAGGTCGTTATCTTTTTTATTCTTTTGTGGTTATTTTGTGTGATTTAAGATGTAATACTAATTTATACGATTCAACATAGCTTCTTTTAATTTTTTCAATGGCTTGATGGTGCTTGAAGCTTTTGTAGTATACCGTCTTCTTCAAAGTTGTACCGAGAACTTGCAGATATGCTTGACTTATTGCTTGTTTCTTATGCTCTGATAGTGAAAAAAATGTTTTTCTGAATGCCTGTTTATCCTTATGCTTGACTTATATATTATTGTGTGTGCTGCTCGCCGTGATTCTTTGGCTGACATCTGAGAAGTCAGTTTTAAGTCCTCTCGGGTTACAGGTTTGAGCCCGCCTAATTGCATCTGCCTTGCAACACGGGATCGAGTGGTTAGACACATGAGGGTGGCTGAGGGATATATATATATATGTTTATGTGTGTACTAATCTAATCTAGTTAATTACTCATTCATTGTGTCATTATGCTGTATGATATCTATTCTTCTCTATATAAAGAATAGAACTTCCTTCAGGAGAAACCTATTTGAGCTCCTCTTTAATATGATAGCTATTTTTGCTAATCTCTTTCTTTTGTGAGGTTCTTTGCTCGTTGTCTCACTCAGCTTAGGAGCTATTGCAGTTTCTTCGCCTGCAATTTTGCTTGGCTCACTTGGCTGGATCACTCAGCTCTCCGCCAAACCATGATTTGTCTGCCTATTATTTGTTAGAAAGCACGGATCTATTTGCTTGTGTGCTGCTTCGTTTGCTCCATTTCTTAATCCACCTCTTTGTCTAACAATTATGCTTGGCCTGTTTAGTTCAGATATCATGTTCTCGCTTCACCTCGTTGGTGAGGATTTATCACGTCATACCAACTATGTTGACTATCTCAACTAATAGTTTGGATAATTTTGATGTTAACTTGTAGAACAAAATTATTTTACCTCTAAATTTATTTTTAATTATTTGTTATCGAAAAAATGTTATGGGGACACATTGAGAGGAGTGATCACACTGCACTTTTTGAATGTCTAAATTAGCTTATTGGCAAAGTAAAGATTCGAGCTTCATGACTTGGATCTTAGGTTCCATTAATCAAGTGATTGCTCTCAATCTTAGGCTTTATAAGTATGCTAAAGAGATATGAGAATACTAACGAAAGTTTTATGATCAGGAGTCGCACATATTTTTAATTAGAAAATGGGAACTAGTTATGCTCATAAAGATTTTTCAATTCAAGATTATTCTCTGCACTAGTAGATTTATATGTTGAATTAGTTGATATAATCTATAATAAAGTACACCTAATTCTCTTTTAGTGGTTCAAGGGTTTCTTGAACAATATGAAAGAGATCCATTTTTTATGAAACTTTGTTGTGAATTTGAAGCTACCTGTCACAGACAAAAAATTCCACATCGGCTAGGTGTAGGGCCGAAAAACAGTATTTAAGTCAAGGGCTGTCACTACCCCTAAGAGCTCTTTTGGGAGGTGACAAGTGGTATCAGAGCAGATTACTGTCTGTCAGGTGTGTGGACTCTTCATAGTCCAGTGGGACCCCCAGTGGGACCCCCAGTGGAGTCGATCTGTGACGAGGGCGTGACGAGGGCGTCACGTGATTGGGTGGAGGAGGAGGAGAATTCACAGACAAAAAGTCCCACATCGGTTAGGTGTAGGGCCAAAAAGCAGTATTTAAGTCTTGGGCTGCCCACTACTCCTAAGAGCTCTTTTGGAAGGTGACATACTGCTTCAATTTGATGAAATGTGATTATTTTCCCTTTTGCATACTTTTTTTTAAAGAATTATTTTGAGTAGCGCAATATCTAATTTTCAATAGCATAAAATGCAAGAGAATGTGGCTGCACATTCAACCAATGGAAAAATTGAAGTAAAAGATATGCAATATGCACAATTCTTTAATTATAAATGCTGCAAACATTTTCGTTCCACTTTGCACTTATTGTTAGAAACTAGGAATTGTGATCGAGGAAATGTCATACCCATCCTCATAGTTGAAAATCAAAATCTAAATAAGCGGCCATATCTGATCAGGCTATTGCTATAATAACTACGGGAAAATCAATTATTGCTCATAAGATGTCTAAATTAATAAGAATTAAAGCCAGGGCCGGGTAGGATCTAGTGGGCAATTGTCCTTATCAAATTTAGGTTTTTACTTATATGAGAGGGTAATTTGCCCTTTCTAAAATATCAATTTTGTAACTTTTGAAATACCCCCCCCAACCCTAAACCCAGAAACCTTTTGGAAAGCCTCCAGAATCTCACAAAGTTTCTTGATAGCAATTTTTCCTACATTAGAGAAAAGAATCACATCATCAGCGTAAGTCAAATGGTTCACCATAACCTTAGATTTATGTTTATAATGCACATTAGGAAACTGCTTATGTAGTTTGTTGACCATCCTAGAGAAATAATCAAATGCTAAAATGAAGGTAGTTGGGGATAAGAGATCTTCTTGTTTGATGCTTCTGGTAGTCGAGAAGAAACAAAATGAAGTGTCATTTAGTAATATGATATATTTATTGCCCGCCAGCCATCTCCCTATCAAATCACAAAAATCCTTTTTGAATCCCCTAGCCTTGAAATTGTTAAATATAAAATCCCAACTGATAGTGTCATAGGCTTTTCGGGTTTGATCAATTCAACAATTTAGACATCAATCTAGAATTGGGCAATTGTCACCTTTCCAATTGTATAATCTTTTGAATACATACACGATACACTTTCTTTTTCTAGGTTTGTGGACTATTAATTAACAAAAGGTTGGTAATGCAGTTCACGCCTTAAATGATTAAACCTATAGTATAACCATTGTCCTCTAGTACAATCATTTATTATTATCTATTCATTGATAGTCACTCTTTTATTAATACTACCGGGGCTAATAATGTTTCCAAGAAAATGTTTATATATCTCATAAGCCTTTTGCTCATCTTATCTCTACCAAAAAATGATTGATAATAACTATGTTGCTTAATTTTTCGAGTTGGTTTCATTGTGCATTATAAACCGAAGTGGAATTTACTTATTTGGAGGCCTAAAATTGGATGATGGTGATGATGATGACGGTGATGATGATTATTATTATTATTTGCATCTTTTCATTTTTGAGTTCCCATCATCTTGTATGATAGTAAATCAGCTTAATAATCTATGACAAATAATGGGGTTACCCAAATTATACTATTTTACTTCACTTGATAAACTCTGGTTCAAATTCAAAAATAACATAAGTCTTTCTTTTCTATCACATGATAGTCATGTTGAAAGATTTTTTATTTAATTCATAGTGATCCTTGGGATGTCACTCCTAATAATCTCATGCAAAGTATAAGCATTGTGTAACATTCATTGTTGATTACAACATGTATACCGAGTATCATTTATTTTTCAAAATTTGTTATGTATGTGGAAACTTGATTCTCACCCACATTGAAGCATAAGATCCCACTTTGGAGGTGATTTTATGACCCTTCAAAATGAGGGAATAATTTTTGCTCAGCGACCATTTCTTTTATATCTCAACAACATGGTTTTACTAAATGGGAAAAGCACCATCTCCTAGATGTTATTCTAACCCTATTGTTATAAACTTCTATTCCACCAAGGTTTTGTTGATAGATTATTTCTTGGAATTTATCATCTAATTAGTGATTTGCATACATTTAGCTATGTTTTTTTTAAACTCAAAAGCTTCATAAATTATCAGTTCAATTTATTAAGTGTTCCTTTATGGGCCATAGACATTGTCATGGAGACTATGTGTTATGATTTACATTCCAAAAGTTTTTGAATTTCTCAGTACGCCTTATTATTTAAACAAAAACACCAAAACCTTTATTCCGCTAAGTGGGGTCGGCTACATAAATCATTTTTCTCCATTACATCCTATTTAGTGCTTATTTTTTTTTTAATTTTAATAAATTAAGATCATTTTTTATATCACATGCCCAAGTCATCATAGGCTATCTCTGTCTTTCTTAACAGAAGTCGAATCTAAAATATCTACTCTTTTAATCAGATCATCAGATGGTCGATGTTTAATGTGAGCAAACCATCTAAGATGACTCTATCTAATTTTATCTGTCGTTAGAGATTATTCATTCTATGGACACGACTTTTAAAAAAACTTCGTTAAACGGCAATGCTAATACGGGGCAAAAGTCTTATTGAGGTGACTGTTGAATGGGGCAATGAGAAGCTTTTTTAAACTTAATCTGACCATATTTTAATTTTTGGCTTCTTGCTGCCATCTTGGCTCAACCTCAACCAACAATCTTTATTAAAACCTATATGTGAATGCATATTATTAAGTCTATGATCTTTTAAGATAAAGAATATTAATTTTATTAGTTAGTCCATTCACCTGAACGCTAATGATATGCCTTCATATCAGAAGTAATGATTTATGGGAGATCAAAATTATTCATATTATATATGGATGATTGAATTCTCTACAAGGCATGATAGATTTTGCAAAATTTATTATCCGAGTTCTATAGGTTATTCTCGTCACGTAAGAAAACTATGAGCACATATTGAAGTCATAAAAAGACATTTTGAGCACACAAGTTGAATTTCTCGGCTGCTTCATCTCATCAATCATAATAGC